TAAATATTTTAAGTCTTCTTCACTTTCAGCAAGCAAGGTTGTATCATCTGCATATCGCAGGTTGTTAATGAGTCTTCCTCCAATCCTGATGCCACGATTTTCTTCATTTGTTTAGGAATATTCAAATGATGACAGCATGCCCTATGGAATTCAATACAAACTAAGATTGTATTTTTGATAGAATCTGGGCCCTTTTATTTACCAGACTTATGATTTGGAACAAGCGAAGATCACTGAGTTCCTAGTCTCTCATTTTTAAATTGGGACCATATATTACTCACCAGCCCCTCCTCAGACACGCTATGCAGAGTCACTATGAGTCAGAACAGAGTCAGGAGCGCTTAACAGCAGCAGCAATAATAGCTAACTCTATAATTCTACAGATCGTCCTTAGGTTAGATAACATTTGAATGTAGCTTCACCATGCTCAAAACACACACTCAAAAATTAACAATCGATGTGAAATCTTGTGGTAAGAGTAAAAATGGAAATTTTATTTATTTCTAAGATAGTCTTTCCTATCTATTATCAAAAATCTTTGACTACATTTCAAAATTAGTTTCCTCTGTTTCCCACGTGGAGGCCTGTTGTGCACTATAGGATAACCTAAACATTGGCGCTTCAAACCCACTAGCTGCTCCTTGGTAATCTACATGGTCACTATGAGTAGGAACACTAACAAGCTTCCTGCTCGTTATTTGAAGGGATTTTTATCAATCCTCAGGTCCTACTCTGCAGAGGTTCCTGTCACTGGACAAAGCATCTCATATAGGCATCTTAAACTGGAGAAACATTTTTGTTCAGTGCCATTGAGTCTGTTTCGACTCCTAGAAACTCTCTATAGGGTTTCTGAGGAGTGACTGGTGAGTTTGAACTGCTGACCTGTGGCTCAAACTGATCTTTTGGTCTAGTGCTTTATCCCACAGCACTACATCAGGAGAAGAGTTAGGGGAATGTACAGTAAACTTGAAAACTATGGCCATGAAAGGCTGCAAAAGTTTTAGAAGATATACATTTTCAAGCAAATCTAGAAAAGCTGGAGATATGAGACATGAAACATCGTGGATGCAGTCAAATATAATGATGTAGATTTCAGAACTAAGACAGAGAGAGAGGAATGGAAACTGGAAGGAAGGAAAGGAAGAAAACTGGATGGGAGAGAGGAGGGGAGGAAGGAGGGAGGAAAAATAGCAAATTCAGAGAGGACGAAGAAGACATTTTAGAACATCAGTCCTGTGAACCGAACATGAAATGGATTACCAAAAAAAAAGTCATACCATTTGTTCTTATTCCAAATGAACTGCTGTTGCTCCAGTATGCCATCAACAAAACCACCCCCATTGTTTTTGTTGTTCAGTGTCATCGAGTCAGTTCCGACTCAGAGCGACCCTGTATAGGGTTTCCAAGGAATAGCTGGTGTCTTTGAATTGCCAAACTTGAGTCCAGTGTTGATCCTACAGCACCACACTAGGAGTCCTTGATGTGGTCAAGGGTCCAAGGAAACCAGAACTATCCTTCACTTGTCTATTCTTCCTTCCCCAGGAGCTGATCTGAGAGTAGATCTCCCTTTGCAGTCAATTGGTATAAAATGATTTAATCATGCCAATTATTCACTGACATTAATACTACTAGCCTAAAAGTTGATGGCTCAAACCCACCCTTCAGCACTGTGAAAGAAAGGTCTGGCAATCTGCTTCTGTAATGAGTACAACCAAGAAAACTCTGTGGAGCAGTTCTACTCAGTAATACTACGTGGGGTCATCATGAGTTGGGGTTGACTCAATGGCAACCGGGTTTGTTTTTAGCGAAACAAAAAGGGAATCTACACATTGTTCCATCAGTGCAGATGTTCATCAGTTAATAACTTTGTCTTTCTCCTTGTTCACAGAGTCTAAGGTAAGCTGCAAGTTAGGCCGGTCTGCGTCCACATCAGGTGTGCCTCCTCCATCAGTTACTCCTCTCAGGCAAGCCAGTGACCTGCAACAGAGCCAGGTACCATCATCGTTAGCCAATCGTGATTGACTTCCTGTGATGCAACATGCCAAACGCTTCCCACCTCTGTCTGTCATGTGTTGCTGTAGACAACGTTTACATTTGCTTTTCTTTTTCTCCATGTGTGTGGGTGGGTGGGATGAGTTGTGCGGTCTGTGTTTTCAGTCGAAAAGGAAAGCCTATCTCCTCTGTGATTGGTAAAACTTTCTTTGCTGTTTGTGACCAAATCGTTTTTGTCTCTAGTTTCCATCATTCTGTAATATAAATGTAGTAAACTTGTACTGTGTGTATTAGCTGAGTAGCTGTTTCTTTAAATTCTCTCTCTCCTCCATGTTTTGTGTACTTTTATACTGTCTCTGAAAATTTATCAACCTTTGATAAATTTATCTAATTTGTTTTATGTAGATTTCTTTTTTCAATGTTTTGTCTACAATATTTGCACAGATGTTGTCAATGAATCTGTACATAACCCTTAGCTCTTATCCAATTATATTGTAATATCTGTGGCCATTTAATTTTTATTTCTTCTTAGCTTGGAGCATGATTGTAAGACACTGTGAATATCTATGTCCTTATAAATATTCATATATCAACTCATTGGGATTAAACATGGCAGCTAACCTCTCGTCTTTCTTTGGCCATAGAGATAAACTGACCAATCAGATATGATAGGATATTTACCCCAAACTGTACATGAATAAGGTGATGTTGAATAAATGACTTTTCTCTCTTATACCAACAATATCAGAAATGGTCTGCAAAAGAGAATGGAAGGGTCTTTGCATGGTAAACAAGATCTCCATTATTGCTTGGAGAAAAGAGATAAGAAATAAAGACATAAAGTAAAACATTAATTAATCAGTCATATTAAAATATGTTCCTCTGGGGTTCATTTGGGTGCATGGTTGTGTTTGGAGGACTTTGTAGGAGAAAAAACTCACTACATGTAAATGTTCTGTGGTTAACTCACCCGAAAGGAATTCCCGTGCATTGATTTTGATAAAGCTGAATTGTTGTTGCTGTTAAGTGCTCTGAGTATTACATAGGATTATTCTGGAATGGTCTCTTTCTGCTTCCCAGCTTTCCTTGCACCACTGAAACTCTCCTGGAATTCTAAATGATTACACTTGTGATGATTCCTCCATAGGACTGTTCATTAGTGATTATCAAATTACCTATTCATCGATTATTTAAAATGTCAGGCTATTTTGAAAACATGAACTAAACAGAATAATTAACATCTGTTTTTTTGTTTGTTTGTCTGTTTTTCCCCTAATGGGAGATAGTGTATTTCTTAGAATTTTGTTCTGACTTAAATATGCACAGGGTTTGATTAATGACCATGCAAGGTATCTACAAATACAAGAAATGGGAGGTGACTTTCAATAGCATCTCAAGTGTTATTTAGAATTTCTCGAGTCTTTGTTTAAAGTGTTAAATTACTTTTAAAATGAATTGTAGCCAGGTCAAAATTTTCTAGATATAAAAGAAGCAAAAGGAATAAATTAATGAGTTAATAAATTCACAACACAGTTAACCTCACTAAGAAAAACTGCCCCTTAGTTGATGAAAGTTATTTTTATTAAAATAATAGATTTACCTTAATAGTAGATAAAATTCAAACAAATTTAGATACAAAACTTAGAAGATTTTAGCTATTTGATGAAGGATTGCATTCATATAATCAATTCTCCAAGTACATGATGTTTGCTCTTAGATTATACTCAATATCTCAGAGGGGTTTTGCTTTCTACTGTTGTTATTGTGTTTTGGATTTTTTTCCTCCTAATTAGCTCTGGTAGCGTAGTGGTTACGAAT